CAAGCTCACAGACCTTGAGGAGAGGGAGAAGGCTGGTACATGAACCATGGGGATCAGAAGATGAGTAACAGTTAACTTCAGAGAGATGAGGAAGGCAGAAGTGATTTTGATAAGCTCAACAGAAGGTAACTGTAACTGTGTTCCTAAAGGAACTTGGCTCATCCTAATACTAAAAATCACCCCCCCCCAAGATCAGAGACCCTTGCCACAGAGACCCTTACTCACAGAACAAGCATAGTGAAATCAATCTATACTGTGTCATTAAGCAGAGACAAGAGAATGTAAGAGACAATGATCGTAGATACAGACTGTTAACAGAAAACACTGGTTTCACTGAGAAGCATACAAGCGGAAAGCTGGCAGCTGAGGGTGTGCTGGCTGTGGGGAGCTACCACCCAGCACCCATCTCTGCACAGACGTGGAATAAACAACTATCGCAAGTCCATGTGTCCATAGGCTCCCTGCACCCCGGGTGAAGAACCCTGATCTGGGGACAGCTTTAGTCCATTTTTAAAAATAAATAAAAAATTGATCTTTCCACTGGCAACAAAATTTATGTCCCCAAATCCCACCCACGCAGCAGTCACTTGACAGACTGCTCAAGGTCCTAAAGGCAAAAGCCTCACTACTGCTTGCAGGTTGGATCCTGACCCATACAAGCTCCCTGTTTCACACTGGGTTTTTTGTTAACTCCCCTCTGGCTCTAGCTTTTGCAAATCACAGGCTAGTTTGAATGGGAGAGAGAAGGAATAGGAGATTAAAACCTTTCTTGCAATCACTTCAGAAATGTTGACCACAGTAGCACGGAGATATTCCTGCCCCTTTCACTTCTCTCTGAAAGGAAGAGGTGAAAGATGACATCTTTCCTTAAAAACCCAAATGAACAGAGTGGGAAGTTTGCACAAACCTGGAAAATTAAGAGCTGCTTCTTCAGCCTCCACTGACTGCAGCAGGCATTGAGGATGCTTAGTGAAACCTGGGAAAAGCCCCTGACCACACATAGTAGATGAAGTGTCATATTTAAAAACTTTACATCATCAAAATTGAGAATGTAAAACCATGACTGCAAGTACTGACGGGTAGTAGGAGGTGAAGTACAAATAATACAGTCTAGTGTCAAACTGTGACTAGCCAAAGAACAAGTCCATCAACAGCATACTAAAGGAATCTTACAAAGCTTTATTAAATAATACAGATACAACTCATTATTATTTACATCCAAATTGTCAATTTTAAGTAGTACTAGCGTATAAGGCACAACTCCTCCAAAACCAGCCAGTAAGTTACACAAGACTCAATATAATAATATACAACAATGTTGAGTTTTGTAATACTGTGTGAAACCAAAACTTTATGCCATGAACATTTGCATTCCACTCCTCCAACTATTTGCCTGCATAGTTCTGCACATAATGTATTTTGCATAAGCTATTTTGTTATTTGAAGTAGGGCAATTGCCATCACTGTCATTATGGTCCTTAAGAGAGACACACAGAATATTCACAATTCAAACTGTGATACCTGTTACATGTAAACAAAGTCCTTAGCTGATAGCTGCAAAATCCTCTTTATGGATTAAAAATTACTGGGATTAATATTATAATCCTCAGAATAATAATCCTACAGCAGTACTTGTTGTCTTTCTTTTTTCCCCTATTCTCAGGGAAGTACCTTAGGACTAAGAACTGGAACCAGTCTTTCCAAGTGAATTTTACACCTAAGAAAAGGTTCAAGTCAGCATTCTTCACTGCCATCTTGTTTAGAAAGCAAAATACTCTTGAGCACACAGTGGTAACTGCCTGGGTGAGCAGAGTACTTTCTGGTGTGCCTAGAATTGTGCATTTTATATCTGTCTGTCAAGAAGAAAATCAAAAAGTCAACCAAAAGACCCCGACTTTAATATTTAAGTGATTAAATCCTACACTGTATTTTACAGACTTACAAATGAGCACTTATCAGTAGGCTATTACGGTACAACTATTCCAAAGTCTGGTCATCCCAGTAATACCTTACTGGGCAGCTGAAAGGAAGATTCTGGGTGCGGCTGTATCTGTTTGTACATGAATACACCTGAGAGGAGCAGACTGAACCAGCTGAAGAGGTCACTCATTCCAGTGTGAAACAAGCCACTTCCCAGTGCACCAGGCGACTAGTGGTAAGAAAATGGCGGCTCAGTTTCTACGGAGGTACTCTTATGTGTGAAACGACCTACCTAAATGTATTCTGTTTCTATCAGAACACAGTTAACTGCCTTCAATTAAAAATATTTACTACCAGAAGAAAGGTCTTCTTCGAAGGCACATGCTTTCACATTCCAGTCCAACAAAAGTGCTTACAGTAACAAGACAGGAATACTGCAGTTGTACCCAAAGGAAGCCGCACTAGGAGAGTTTTGGTTTTCTCGGTTTTTGTTATTGTGAAAACAGCCCCAAATTATTCACAGTTGTTCCAGCATTCCTAATGTTAAACCAGCACATTATGGTGATAAATCACATTGTAAGGCTAAATGTGAGAACACTTTTATCAGTGCAGTACATTCCTGAGTCTTTGGAACTCAAAATAAAAACTAGTTCTTTGAAATATACAATCCCTTCATAGTTTTGGCTCATATTTTACTTGTTCTTGTATTTCCCTTTAAAAAAAAAAAATTCATTAAAAAGTTAATTTTTACAAAAAAAAAAAGAACATTTTTTATCACTATCACTTAGACATAACCTCCAGTTGCTTGAAGAGTGCAAAAAAGCTTAGCATAAACTTGGCTTCTGGCCAGTCAGCCTTGTCATCTAAGCGTAAAACAGCAGGTAAAGGAAGTTCTGAAGAACTGAACACTGACCAAAAAAAAGAAAAAAATTCAAAGAGCTCTAAATACATATTAAAAAAAAAAAAAAAAGCCAGTTCCACTCCAGAGATGAATTACAGCAAAACTGTGGAAGTTCTGACATTCACAATTGTTAAAGGCACTCATTTTTCTATTTTTCTGTTTTTCCAGCCCTAGTGCACAAAGATGAGTCCTACTGCCCCTAACGGGAATCATAGCCCGTACTCCAGAGCGTGGACGATGGGCTTGTTTTCCTGCTTGAGGACTGAGGACTGAAGGGAAGCACAGGTGATGCAGAGAAACCTAAAACCCAGGAAGGAGAACAAACCCAGTCAGACTCAGAAGTGGTGGAAGGAAGAAACAAACAACTACTGTTATCACCTTCTGCAACACCTAGCAAGCGACTCTAGTGATCCGTTCGAGGTGAAATAACCCCTTTAGCTTATGGCCTGTTGAAAAGGCACCTTCTATGTATCAAAATCCTGTAGGGCTTCCTATTAAGGACTTTAATTCAAGAATTAAGCCTGAGGGGGGCTCAACACATTTCACCTCAGCAAATAACTGAATTTGCCTTATTTTATCTGAAGTGTCAGGTACATGTTTTTACGAACAGGACTGCAGCTCACCACAACTTAGATGCAGCTCTAAAAGTGTGGACTTCGTTTTAATGGACACTATCACAGCCCTTCCAAGAGAATGGGTGGTTTTTGCATATTAATGAAAGAGTTTGATTCTGCAATGCTGCAAATAGGTAAAATAGGGAATAAATATGATGACCAAAACCACAGCTAAAACATGACTGCAAGATCAGAAGTAGTGAAGGAACAAACTGTTCCCCAAGCAACACAACCAAGTCCTCTACAGCCCTGCGTCCTTTGCTCCCTGCCCTTGCCCTTCCCTGTCTCTTACCGCAGCCCCAGTTCACGGTACCTCCCAGCACACTGACAGCACCAGCGATGCAGCATGTGCCACAGTTCAGTAGAAGCAGAATTGTGGATATCTCTCCTCTACCCACCCTGTGATTTGCAGGAATTCTTACACTTTTAACCCGTTCCCTATTTCTAGTGCGGCTGAAGTTGGCCAAGTGTTTCACAAGAATTAGCAGTGGGTAAAGGGGAGGTTGGGGACTCGGGCAGGGGCAACAAATTTCGTATGAACTGGAACAGTGCTGCTTGTAATATAATTCAGTGTACAGAGTCTCTCACAGTCATACCTCCCTGTGTTCAATCCCAACACAACAGCCAGAGTAATCAATTCATTCAGTTAGAACTGGGTAACAGTTGCTTACTGTTATAGGTGTGTTGAGGAGTGGCCCTTGGGGTAAACGGTGGATGACTGTGCTCTTCTTTCGGTGAGAAAACTGCATGATAGACTGGAAGACATAGTAAAAAACCCAAAATAAAACAAAAAACCAAACCAATAAACTCATTTAATGTGGCAATTATTGCTTTGTATCTTACAGCTAATGCACTGTAAGAAGTTATAGTAAAAATACTTGGCAATCTTTAACTCTCTTACCTATAATCATAACAGCTGTTCCTGCTAATAGTGCAAAGAGTGTGAAGAACATTACTTGGTACGAATCAAGAAAGTGCTGGAACAGACTGGCTCCATCTGCAGAATTGATTAAGAGGAGACAATACTGAGTTAAAAGAGCATTTCTTCAATCTGCTTTAAGAGAGTTAACAGTTCTTAACTCAAACTGAGATAGACAAAAGAAAGGGTTTATTTACAACAAATAAGTGTAATCAACTCAGTGTAATCAACTAGACTTCGATTCTAGTGACTATTTCCAATGCAGTCTTTGCAAAATCTGCCAATAACAGTTTAAGACAGTGATATACAATGTCTTAAGCATGTTCTTTACCTTCTCAGCCCCAAAACGCTGATTGGTTTTCAAATTAACAAGGCATGCTTGAGCATAAAGAAAAGCAGAGCAAAAACCAAAAATGCTTTCAGACACTTCAGCACTGGATATTGAAGCCAACTTGAACAGAATGTTTTGGGCTCACACAAGAGGGAAATATGTTCAGCTTCAGTTATAACAAGCAATTGTATTTGAGTCCTCTGGTCATAGTGAGCAGCTTACAGGCCCATCAGAACGTTAGCTGCCAGCTCAGGTTTTCACACACCAAATTTCGTAACCTCATGAATATAAATGGAAGTTAAGGGTTTATTCTGGCATATGAAGTTTAGAGATAAACTTACGTCTCACTGGTGCACTGGTTCTGTCAGTCAAGTAAATCACCGTCACTGGGATTGTGATAGACTGGTCAGTCATAGGACTAGAGATAGTCAGAGTGGTTGAGAAGGATCCCTGGCTGGAAACTCTTGGATCAGACAGACTAACGGTGTAGACTGCATAACTAGGCAGCCCATAGGATTTCTCCTTCTCAAATGCCTTCACTGTTGATGACCCACATTTCACCTGCCAAGGAAAAAAGCCACCCTGAAGTAGACTGCTTGAGAAAGCCCAGCATGTGCCCATCTTCCAGGCCACACATCAGAAATCCATTACTCCACAGAAACACAGACCAGCTCACCCTCAGGAGTCTTGGCTGGAACTTCACAGTGACTCCTGCAACACTCCACCCCTGCTTATTGTTACGGCTGTCCTGCTAACTGCTCTCTCTGTGGGCCCGGGCTAACCCCACACAGGCAGAAATCAAAGCATCCCTTACTGGACTATGTGAACCAGGGGCAGTCAAACGAGTACATGAGCAAGAACCCACCCTTGCTGCTAGTCAGACTCTCTGCTTCCCCACATGTCCCAGGTAGCACACAGGTGAGCCTGACATGTTTCTACTACCCCAAAACAAAAGTGAGAACTGAAAAGGAACACATTCCAAGGTGAGTATTTCCAAATCATCTCAGGAGCAATCTTGACATGGTAAAGGTGGCACGGAGTGCATTTGGCTAGAAACCTGCATGTAACAGACCAAATGCTTTCACCTGCGATGTGATACTTTCCAGCAATGCTCTCACCTCCAGGGTATCAAGAATTTCAGTGGCACCAAATATTTTCACATCAGAGCTTGTGTAATGGTTGCTTAAAAGCATTTCCGTTTGGTCAGCATAAAACCCGGGATTGAACGGCACCTCAGTGCTGATCTGCTCCCCAGAGAAGTGGCTGCTTTGGATCGAAGCTGTAACTCTAAGAGCAGTTCTGCTCATGCTGAGATGCTTCAGCTGCTTGTCAGTGAGCCTGTGCATTGTGATGGAACAAATGTAATGTCCTAGAGAAAGAAAAGCACTTTGTTAATTGCTCATCTTTACGTATTTTCCTCCATGCAGGGTGAGATTTCTCTGAAGATGTCTTTAGAGAGCTAGAAGTCTTTAGAGAAGAGCTAAAAAAGGTGGTAAAATTCAATAAACAGCAAGATCAGGAGCACAGAGGTGAATGGGACAGTGCCTGTGGGCCAAGTATCAAGCACTAAACCAACTGGGGGTACTTTTTGTCCCAAACTAAACATCGTGATAAAAACATGGAAATGGCAGTTTCCAGTCACGTTGCCATCGAGACTCAGTTCCACTCTGAATGGAACATTTATGCTAAGGTTGATAGAAAAGCTTTACGGAAAACAAAATTTAACATCCTATTTTATACTCTCTTCTCCTGATGTTATTAAAATTTTCGACAGTTACCATCAGCAGATCTGTGGAGACGTGGTTTATTATTTAGAAAAGCTTCTTTAAAGGTAGGTATTCACCATGTTTCTAGTCTCTTACAGGATCTCTCTGTCTATTATTAATGATAAACAGAAAAAAAAAATCCCCCACTATGAAGATACAAAGCATAAGTAACCAGCAGCTCACAAGGTGCAGCACAGAGGCAGCCACTATTATGCAAGGTAGAAGAGTGCTTTACACAGGGGGTACAGGGGCTACTCTACCAGATAACTGATGTAACTTCTATACAGTCCATGGTGTTTTGGTTTTCTTAAAATCTTGTTATAGTTATGAAAAATTAACACATGGCTTAGACTTCCACAATTTTATTTACCTTTCCACAGTACCTGGTCATTTCCCCTCCTTTTAAGTCCCAGTTCAGGTTGCTTTGGGGATACACAGGAATTTTGCCTTTCCATAAGACGTTACAGCACTTGGGTTGTGCAGAACAGCTTGAAAGCATGCAAAGAATTGCATGCTTTCAAAATGTATTAATTCCAGCAGGTTTTCACCTGCTACAGGCTCAG